GCCCGGCACCCAGGGCCTCTCACACTCCGTGCGTCTGCACCCCCGCGCCGCGCTGCTACACCAACGCGGGACACAGCACGCCGGGCGCCCTTTCCCCGGGCCAGCCACTCCGCGCACTGCGTATCGCCTGGCGCCGGCTCCTCCGGTCCCCGTGTGCACACACACGCTGTTCACCCCGCTGTTTACACGCCTCCCCTGAGCCTGCACACCGCGCACACCCCTCACTTTTACACTCAACACCCTGGCTGTCCTAACTGCCCGTGCCACGGCCTTACATCCTTCGGGGGGGGGGGTTCCTGGTCAGTTCCCCCCAACTTCCAGTCCCCAGATATCCTGAGGGGTGTGAGGATCTGCAGGAACTGTCATCATCATAGGGGGCACGTCGCATCTCATCTCCAGGAGGCCTGGGAAGAAGGCTGCGGGAAAGAGCCTAAGGGGACCTTCAGCTTCCTTGAGGCTGAATGTTTACTGGGGTTGAACACCGTGGGGCAGCAAACTGCACTGTGGGTGAAGGGACCCTGAGCCTGTCCCTTTGGTGGCCTCAGAGCTGCCAAGTGACTGTGCCTTCCCTTACAGTCGGTGAGTCCACATCCTAGGTAAGAACCTGGGAAACTTGCACCTGGATTGTCAGTTAAGCCAGGGTGCCTGGTTTGAAGAGCTGCAGCAGTAGTCCCTCTTACTAGAAGGAAGGAAAGAAGGGAAGGAAATCAGAGGCTCTAAAGGGAAGGAGACCCACCTAGGTGTTAATACATCCACCCAGTAAGGCCAGGGCAATAACAATAACCTCCCAGCTCCCACCCTCACCCTGTCTCCCACCCTCACAGTGTAATCTGAAATCTTTCTCAAGCAACCCAGAAGAGTGGCAGCTCCCAGCCTGGGGTCCACACCCGGCCTCAAACTAAGTGCTTGCCAGTGACTCTGGGCAAGTCACTTCTCACACTTAACAAACTGGAGCCTCAGCTGCTGTGCCACCCCGCCCCCCCATTTCCAGGGCTGCAGGGAGATTTCCTGAGCTAACACAAGGCAAGTCCTTCATGATGCTGGTACACAGTAGGTGCCCAATGTCAGCTGCCACCCTCCCCCAGCCAGTCTGTACTGTGGTTTCTGCGGGTGTCTGAGGGATGGCACCAGGATGTGGTTATCTCAGAAAGTGTTGTGGGGGAAGGATGCACTTTCGCACTTGCAAAGGTTTTCAAACCTAAAGGTCCCTCAAGAAACCCACAGCCTGGAAGGTTGGGGCTCCCCCATAGGGTACTTCCTATCCTTTTGTTGTTGCTATTTGTTTGTTGTTTGTTTTGTTTTTCAAGACAGGGTTTCTCTATGTAACAGCTCTGACTGTCCTGGAACTTAACTCTGCAGACCAGGCTGGCCTGGAATTCACAGAGATCTGCCTGCCTCTGCCTCCTGAGGTCTGGGATTAAAGGAGTGTGCCACCACCACCTGGCCCTGATTTCTTATTACCTGCTGGTATTAAGGTAGAGATAAAGGGAGCCACCACGGTGCTGGTCACGTTGTGAGGACACTGAGCAAGGAGAAGGAGGTGAAGTGTAGAAGAGAGGCTCAGCTCAGCTCAGCTCAGGGGCTCTGATTCTACACACAGAATTCCTGGAAAGCCATTTCTCTGACAAGCCAGGGAGGGAGCCTCTGCCATGGTCAGATTCCAGCACAGTGGGATGTGGGTGCTTCCCAACCATCCCACTGACCTGCAAGGCCTGGTCAGCAGTCGACACAGGGCCCAGTGCATAGGCCCAGACAGAGCCTTCACTGATATGGAGCCCAGAGTTTTTATGTTAGGATGTGTGTGGGCCCTGTCTTCCTCCTCATCTGTGAAACGGGGATCCAGTAATGTATTCAGTCACCAGATCTAGTAGGCACCAGTTATGCACTAGGCTTGGTTAGTTAGGTACTCAGCACGCAGTGTTGTGAAGGCAGGATTGAGGAGAGTACTATTAAGCGAGGGCCATTAAGTGAGAAGCGGGGGCCATTCTCACTGAACACTGCTCCATGCAGTGGGGACTGGAACTGACAGTAGACTGGGTAGGGAGTGGTGCTCAAGGAGGAAGATGCACCATCATAGCTCAGATGAGGGCCTGGAGCAACCCCAGCTGGCCCCTACTGTGCATCTGAAGTGCCAGCTCTGGCCACTGGCTGCCCTGGCCTTCAAATGCCGTGTCAGTATCCTAGCCCTAGCCAAAGCCGAAACCTCTGGGCTGCCAATAAAAACCCACTGGTATTGCCTGAGGTGAGATGGAGCCAAGGGTCTCTCGGGTTGTAACTAAGCCTTTAAGAAGAGCGGCAGGGTGGTGGTGGCGCATGCCTTTAACCCCAGCACTCGGAAAGCAGAGGCAGACGGATTTTTGTGAGTTTGAGACCAGTCTGGTCTACAAGAACTAGTTCCATGTTCAAAGCCACAGAGAAACATTGTCTCAAAAAATCAAAAAATGAAAATAAAAATAAAAAATAAATAAAAGAAGGGCACTTGCTGCAGAGGCAGACCTGGGATGTTGTCAACTCCCTAGGCAGTGGCTGGGCAATGTTGGACCCATTCACTGCTTTCCCTGAGCCTCTCTATCCTGCACCAAGTGGGGATTATAACAAGATTTGCCCCGAGTATTTGGGGGGCATGGGGAAGGAAGTTCTGGGTAGGGTTTGTGGCTGCTGAAGCAGACGCCCTAGACAGGCACCCACACTGCTGGCTTTGGGCAAGTCATTTAACCTCTCTGAGCTCATTCCAAGTCTAGCTTATATATAAGGATATTTCTAGCAGGTTGCAGGCTCTGAAAGTGAATGGTGGGAGGGGAGGGGCCAGGTCTGAACCCAAGAGCATGAGACTATATATATCATCATTGTCAGAACACCTGCTATCTCTGAGGCAGGGAGTTCAGTGTAGACCCACTACACTTTACCACTGTTCAAGGGAAGCAGGAAACACCTCCTCCCTTTCTCTCCCTTCCTCTCTTCCAGCACCAGGGATAGAACACGGGACTCACACATATTAGACAAGCATTCTACCACTGACTTATACAACTACCACCACCCCTTTTTTTTTTCTGAACTTCATTTTTAAATGAAAATTTCTTAGTTTGAAAAAAAAAACATATTTTGAAACTGGTTGTTGGTGGTGCATGCCTTTAATCCATAGCACTCTAAGAGATAGAGGCATGGTGATTTCTGAGTTTGAGGCCAGTTTGGTCTACAAAGTAAGTTTCAAGACAGCCAGGGCTACATATTGAGACCATGTCTCAAAAAAATTATATTTTATATATTGGCCTGGGGACATAGCTCAGTTAGTAAGATGTTTAAGTATAAATAAAGACTTGAGTTTAATCTCCAGCACCCATATAAAAAGCAAACACTAGGGAGGCAGAGCAGGCAATTCCTGAGACTGACTTGCAGACAGCCTAGCCTAATCCTCAAACCCCAGGTCAGTAAGAGACCCTGTCTCAAAATACGAGTTAAACAACTCCCAAGAAAGGAAACTGGAGGTTGGCTTCTGACTTCCACACCTATGCACACACTTATTCCTGTCTGTACACAATCACGTCCATACAAAAAAAGAATTCAGGGGCTGAAGAGATGGCTTAGAGGCTAAGAGCACTGGCTGCTCTTCCAGAGGATCTGGGTTCGATTTGTAGCGCCCACATGGTGGCTCACAGCTCCAATTCCTGGGCATCTGAGGTCCCCTTTTAGCGTGGGTACCAGGCACACACTCAGTATACAGACATGCACGAAAACAAAACACCTCACACATGCACACAAACACAGCATACAATTCATTTTATTTTAAACAAGCAAAACATATGGGCAGGTGGACAGTGCTTCTCCCATGATTGTTCTGCACAGACTGGGAGCCAGGGGGCTCTTTCTGTACTTTGGCCAGGCTAATAATCACAGCAGCTAATATTTGCTAAGCCACCTCATTCTTAGCCTCTCATTCCACCCTCCTGTCATCTTCACATAGGCAGTCATGATCTTCAACTTCTGATCTTCTCGCCTCCACCTCTCGAGTGCTAGAACATGTGTATATTACCACACCCAGTTTTATTCAGTGCTAGGGAACCAAACCCAGGTCTTCTTGCATGCTAAGCAAGCACTCTACCAACAGATTTTACATTGCAAGACTAGTCACGAACTCCTTTTATAGATGGTACTACTGACGCTCAGAGAGAAAGGGAGACTAAGAAAATTGTCTAAAGCCATGAGTCAGTGAAGGGGCTAATCTGAAATTCAGAGCTGACTACAAACCTGGGGTTTAGGCTGATCCCCTGCAGGATTTGCACATCTTCCTGTTTCTTCCTCCCTCTACTTAGGTAGATGTGCCCTGACTTCAAGCTCTTTGTAGCATGGCACAGCTGGAAGCTCTATCTGGGGGTGTGCTGAGCAGTCATTTATGCCTTCCGAGATATCACAGTTCCCATGGCAAAATAAGGGAAGTAGATATTAAGATTGCGAAGTCTGAGTTGGACAGCATTGGTTGACCTCTAACCCACCCCCCATAAACATACACATACCAAAAGTCAGAGGCTTGATACCCTCTGAGGTTCTGCTGGTACCAGACATGCTGTAGCAGGTGTCACACTTTGGTTAGTCTTTCCTTTTTGTTGCCAGCCTGTGCCAGTTGTGCCACAAAGGCATTATCAGAATCTCAGCCAGGCTGGGACAGACTGGAATGTGTGTGTTCATACACTGTGTTTGGTGTGTGCAAAGCCTCTTCTCCTGGGGGGGCTAGGACAGCCCCAGGTTTGTACAGCAAGCCATTTGGAACCTACAATTTTGGAAAGCCTATGCCTATCTCCAGTAAGACATAGTGGTTAGGAGCTCAGGGCCAGACAGCCAAACACTTCTTAGCTACATAGTACATTAACTCCACAGCACTCTGCTTACAGAGCAGACATGATTCTAGTGCCCTTGCTAAGAGGGTTAAACGAGGTCATATTTGCATAGATGTTTAGAACTGTGCTTGGTGCTTAGATAGGCCCAGGGAGGTTGACTGCTATCATTATCTCAAGCCTGGGGCTCATTCAAGCCAAGATAGGTGAAGCCTTTTTGTCTTAGCACTGCCTCCCATCACCATGACAACTCTTATCTCATCAACTCGGGAGCAACATCAGGAAACCAGAAGCCAGCTACAAACCCACATCTGCCCTGTATCACAAGGCTGAATACCCTAGGACCTATATATGCAGGACCAACTTCTCGACTCCAAAGCCACAGGCCGGAGAGAATCCACACACACAAAATGGCTAAAGTCTCAGTTTCACTCTTTCACTGAACACTGATTCCAGAGAAAGCCTACTGAATGCTTGGAAGGGTTGGTGTGCCAAGTCCCAATGTGCCTGAATCGTGTTGACACCTTTATGTTTGTGAATTGATTACACTTAAAAGAAAACACGTTAGCTGGGTGTTGGTGTCGAACACCTTTGATCCCAGCACTCGGGAGGCAGAGGCAGGTGGATCTCTGTGAATTCGAGGCCAGTGTACAGAGCAAGTTCCAGGACAGGCTCCAAAGCTATACAGAGAAACCCTGTCTTGAAACACCACCAAAAGAGAAGGAAGGAAGGAAGGAAGAAAAGAAAGGAAAAAAGAGAGTCAACAAGTTAGACATGTGGACATGTGCATGTAGTTCCAGCTATTCTAGAGGCTAAGTAGGGCACCCATTAGAGCCTAGCAGCTCAAGGCCAACCAGTACACCATAGTTAGACCATGTCTCAGAATTAAAGAGTGCTGAGGCTGTAGCTCAGTGGTAGAGTGCTTACCTTATATGCTTGAAGTCCTGTGTTCAATCCCTAACATTAAATAAAAATAAGTGTAGTGACACATATGTAACCCCAGAACTCAGGAGGAGAAGGCAGAAGGATTGGAAGTTCAAGATCATTATCAGCCACATATGGAGTTTGAGCCCGTACTGGCATGTGAGACTGTTTCAAAAATAATTTTTTTGCGGGGGGGGGGGGGGGGGGTGTTTGAGACAGGGTTTCTCTGTGGCTTTGGAGGCTGTTCTGGAACTAGCTCTTGTAGACCAGGCTAGTCTTGAACTCACAGAGATCTGCCTGCCTCTGCCTCCCAAATGCTGGGATTAAAGGCGTGAGCCACCACTGCCCAGCTACTCAAAAATAATTTTTTTAATTCTTAGTGGGTATAATTCTAGCAGTTGAGAGGTAGAGGCAGGAGGGTCAGGAGTTCCAGGTAATCCTTGGCTGCATAGTGAGCTGCAAGCCTCCCTAGACTACAGAGTGAGACTCTGTCTCAAGAAGAAAACAAAACAAACAAACAAAACAGGAGGCTCATGGGTGGAAGTGCTTGCTGCCGAGCCTGAGGACAGTCCCTGGAGCCCACATGGTGCGAAAGTTGAAAACTGACTCCAGTGAGTTGATCTCTGAACTCCACACACACTCACTGACACACTGATAAGATTTTTTTTCAAACAATATCTTTTGGACTTTCTTTTAAAAAGATGTTAAGATTTATTTTATTCGGTCTTTCCCAGCCACCCGCCATGGTGGATGAATGAAAGGCCCAAGCTAGCATGGGGTTAGCTCATTAAACAACTACAATAAAGCCTCGTGCTGTTTGCATAAAAAAATATTTATTTTATTCTCTTATGTATATGAATGTTTTGCCTGCATATGTGCATGTATACCACATGTATGCCTGATGCCCATGGGAGTCAAAAGAGGACACTGGATGCCTTAGGACTGTACTTCCAAACAGTTATAAGCTGCCAAGGGAGTGCTGAGAATAAAATCCAGGTCCTCTGGAAAAGCAACAAATGCTCTTAACCATTGAGCTGTCTCTCCAACCCGAATCTGGCTTGTCTTTAAATATATGTGGTTTCTCTTGCTGTGAAGAAACAGTATGACCAAAGCAACGTGGGGAGGAAAGGGTTTATTTGGCTTACACATCATGAATCACAATCCACTGAGGGAAACCAAGGCAGGACCTCAAGCAGGGCTGGAACCTGGGGACAGGAGCTTTGAGACCACAGAGAAGTGCTGCTGACTGGCCTAACCTGAATGGCTTGCTCAGCCTGCCTTATAGAACCCAGGACCACCAGGCCAGAGGTGGCACCGCCCACAGTGGGCTGGGCCCTCCCACAACAAACACTGATTAAGAAAATGCTCTATAGGCTCCCTTAGGCCTGACGTTATGGGTGTGCTTTCTCAATCAAGGTTCCCTTGTGTCAAGTTGACATAAAACTAGCCAGCACAAGATGGAATATCCAGCTATTCATAATTAGAATTCCTGCTGGAAAGGGAAGACAGGTGCCCTGAGCCGAGCAAGCTCAGGTTCAAGCTCTAAGGTTCTGACCCCCCATCTCTTACCTTGCTTGGGGCTTGCAGGCTTGGCATGGATGGGAGTAGGGGTTGTGGGGGTGAGGGTGGGTCCAGCACTTAGGAACTGCAAGGGAACCCAGCAGTGGAGCAACGTAATTTAGCCTTCTTTTCCCTTGAGTGAAATGAGTACACACACACACACACACACATACACACACACACACTGCAAAAAAAACAAAAAACAAATAAACAAAAAAAAAAAAATCAATCTACAGGAAGCCACTGAAGAGAACTCTTAAAAATTGTATAGAGAACCTGAAGTGTAGCTCTTCACAGGTGATGGCTTCCGGTGCAGGGGAGGCAGGGAAGGACTCAGTTTTCTTTAAGGACTGGCCACTGGGAGTTTGACCACACTCTGGTGAGTGTATGGGCAACACAAATTGAACTTGGTATATATAATTTTTCTTCTACTTGGGGGTGGGGAGTCACAAAGGGGTTGGACCTGGGAAGTGAAAGTGACCGGAGTGCATTATGTGAAACTCCCAAATAATCAATAAAAATATTATGTTGGGGAGGAAAAAATAAATGAGCACAGCTCATTCTAGTCTCCCATTCCAGATCCTCCTCTCCACACCCACTCAGAACACATCCCAAGCAGATTAACTTCTTAGCAACAATAATAATAAAATAATAAGTAGTCATCTGAGTTCAGGTGATGGCTTGTATGAGCTCCCAGGTCTTAATCTAGAAAAAGATAGACCTCAGCAGTTCATGGAACCCAGCAGACAAGAGTGTGCAGAGAAGAAAGCGTCTCACTCAGGGAAAGACTGGGAGTAGAACACTCAGGGAATTCACCCTTTCTGACTCTTTTCCAAGTTACATGGAACCTGAGTTGAAGCACTAAGTGGCCTGTCCTAATGAGCAGTCGCGATTCCCAACTGTTGCTTTAGGTTGGTAATGAGGCAGGGTTAGCAGATCCAAACACTTGCTAACACTGGAGCTTCAGGTAAACACTGGATCATTTTTAACATAAATATGTCCCGTGTATTTGGGCCTTATACGAAAAGTGAATCTGAAATGTCTGTGCCTTTGGTATCCTGTACTTTATCTAACAACTCCAGATGAGTTTTAGAATGTTTAGAAGGAGACTTTGGGAGGCTAGGAGATATCCCTGGGGGCAGAGTGTCTGCTGTGCAAGCATGAAGACCGAAGCACAGATCCCGAGCACTCACAAAAAAAGCAGGATGTGGCCAGGAGTTGGTGGCGCATACCTTTAATCCCAGCCCTCGGGAGGCAGAGACAGGTGGATCTCTGTGAGTTTGAGACCAGCCTGGTCTACAAGACCTAGTTCCAGGACAACCTCCAAAGCCACAGAGAAACCCTGTCTTGAAACCCCCCCCCCAAAAAATGAAAAAGAAAAAAAAAGCAGCAGGATGTGGCAGTGTGCTTGTAATTGACAAGGGAGGAAGAGGTGGAATGCAGGGGTTGGGGGAAGACAGACACAAAGACAGGAAGAAGACAAGCAGATCCCAGGGCTCTATCCTGACATCAAGCTCTGATTTTCACATGTACTCTCGGGGTTATGTGTGTGTACTTCCACACACATACACACATAACATACACTGCACACACATTCAAAAACAGGTTTTAATATCCAGACATAATGGAGCACATATGTAAGCCCAGGGTAAATAGCCTTAGCTATGTAGCAAGTTCAAGGCCAGCTTGAGCTACGTGAGACCCTGTTTCAGCCCCTTTTCCAAAAAGGTTAAAATACCATTTTACTTAAGACAGGGTCCTACCCCACCTCCAGAGCTCCAGGTTTACAAGTGAGTACAACCATGCCTGCCTTTATCTACTGTATTTGAAAATACCATGAGCATGAGCACTTTTGGATCTGGATGTGGTAGCCTGTGATTGTAATCCCCACACTTGGGCAGCCAAGGCAAGGAAATGGAGCATCCCATACCAGTCTGGGTTACACATTGAGACCTGTCTCAAGAAGAAGAAGAAGGTAGAGGTGGCGAAGGAGAGAGAGGTGAAAAGGAGGGGGAGGAGGGGCCAGACATGGTGGCACACGGCTTTAGTCCCGGCACTTGGAAGGCAGAGGCAGGTGGATTTCTGTGAGTTTCAGGCCAGCCTGTTCCACAACAGCTAATGCTACATAGAGAAACCCCGTCTCAAAGTAAATAAATAAATAAATATAAAAAGGGACGGTAGAGCCAGCTCTTGGGTTAATTGTTCAGTTTCTAGGACCCACATGACAACTAGTTCCAGAGGACCCGATGTCCTCATTTGACCTCCTTGGGCACTGCATGTGCACAGTGCACAAGCAGACAGGCAGGCAAAACACTGAGGCATATCATTTTTTTTTTTTAAGAGAGAGAATGTCTCACTGTGTATCCCTGGCTGGCTTGGAACTTCGTTTGTATACCAAGTTGGCTTTGAACACACAGAAATTCTTCCTCTGCTTCCAGAGTGCTGGGGTTAAAGTCATGAACCACCACATCTGGATCAATAATAAATAAGTCTTAAGAAGAGGAGGGGCCACAGGGTGGGGAAGGAGGAACACAGTAGAGCAACCAATTTGGCCAAGCACTCTTGAGCAGCTGAGTGGGAACCTAAGTGACAGGCACACTGAAGCCACTGAGGAGGAATGTGATGCTCTGAACCATGCTCGTGGCTGACTTTGTTTTTCCTTTCAGTCCCTGTCACTGCAGGGAACATCATGGCCGTGGATGTGACAGAATATCATCTGAGCGGTGAGTCTCCCAGACAGGACCTCCAAGGACCACAGCCTCAGGCAATTGCACCAAGCCTGGGATGAGAGGTGTCACACAGCCATGGGGACAACAACATCCTGGGACTTTTCACTACAGTGGATTCTTTTTGTTTCTTTGGTTTGGTTTGTGTGTTTTTGTTATTGTTGTTTTGTTTGTTTCTTAGACATGTCTCATGTAGCCCAAGCTGGCTTCAAAAAAATTTTTTTGCAGTGTGTGTGTGTGTGTGTGTGTGTGGTGCATGTATGAATATGTGTGGCACACATAGGAGGTATGTCTGTGCACATGGGTAGGTGTGCAAATGGTGGCCACCGGTGACCACCGTTGATGTCTGGAGTCACCCTTCATTGCTCTTCCACCTTGTTCGCTGAGGCAGGCAGTCTTTCAGTAAAACCCAGACTTGCTCTGGGGAATCCCTGTCTCTGCTTTCCAAGGCTGGGATTACAGACATTTGTCATGCCCACCACACCAGCGTTTATATGGGTTCTGGGGATCCAAACTCTCATCCTCACCCTTGCACAAGTGCTTTGACCACTGAGCCATCTCACCCGCCCTGAATTCTCTATGGAGCCAAGGATGAACTTGAACTTGTGATTCTTCTGCTTCCACTTACTAAGTGCTGGGATCACAGACATGTGCCATCACACCTAGAAACATTTCTGTTAGAAAGATTCCATTTATCTAGCCGGGCGTTGGTGGCACACGCCTTTAATCCTAGCACTCAGGAAGCAGAGGCAGGTGGATCTCTGTGAGTTCGAGGCCAGCCTGGTCTCCAGAGCGAGTGCCAGGAGAGGCTCCAAAGCTACACAGAGAAACCCTGTCTCGAAAAACCAAAAAAAAAAAGAAAAGAAAAGAAAAGAAAAAAGAAAGATTCCCTCTATCTGAGACGAGGGGCTCCCGGGAGACCCCTGATGGATGAGCTTATGGCATAGAATCCATTCATTTGGGCCCCCTCCTGGAATCTGTCCATGTTAGACAATGCTACATTTACCTAGTTCAGGGATGACCAGAGTCTGGGACTCACCCTTGCCCTCCTCCAATTCTTCTAAGTTTGGATATGACCTGGACCCTCCAGCATACTCCCATAACCCTGCTACCAAGTGCTGGGTGGTGTCATGGCTGATATATGGCTGATATCTTTCTTCCAAATGTTCCTTTCCCTATTCACAATGAGAGGAGTGACCCTTAGTGACAAAGGGACAGTAACAGGTCAGGGTGTGATCTCAAATCTCCTAACCCCCTAGTCCAGCATTCCCTCTCATACCAGCTCTTACTCTATCTAGTTCAGGTCCCATTGGTCCAGGGCTAAACTTCAAGATGGGGCAGCAACTGCCTTTCTCAGTCTCCAACCAGAGAGCCTCACTTTTCGTCTGCAGCCCCACTGGTCTTCACACAGAGAATTTGGTAGCCTTTCGTTAATGTCACAGGGCTCTCCCAGCTCCCGGCCTTTGTACATACCATTCCTTGGTGTGACTGTCTTCTCTGCTCTGTCTGCCTTGTGTCTCAGGTGGAAATCTACAGAGTGCAGAGCCAGACAATCAGTAGCTTCTCCCCTGTCCTCCTCTGAAAAATGGGGACATCCTGGTTCCCAGGACTCAGAGGGCCAATATGTGGGAAGAGCTAAAGCAAAGCCTGGAAGTAGTGATTAGCACAACATAAGAGAGCTATTGTTAGGTCAAGTGTAATGCTGCAACCTTTAATCCCCATCCTGTAGAGACAGGGGCAGGTGAGTCTCTGTGGGTTCAAGGATAGCCTTGTCTACATAGTGAGTTACAGGACAGCCAGATATACAGAATGACCCTGTCTTAAAAAAAAAAAAAAAAAAAAAAAAACCTGGCCACTCCTGTTGTTAGAGTCTCTCTCCTCTCCTCCCTCATCTTATGTCTAGTCTGACCCACTATCCCTCCTGGTATTCCGTAAAATCAGTCAATAAATGTGTATTCATTATCATTACATGTCACCTGCCTGGGTTTTTTCTTTTCCTGACCCCAGCTCTGCCAACCCTAGCTCTCCCCAGTTCTACCCACCAGCATTGAAGATTTACTCCTCAGCACCGAAACCCCACATGAGGGGTGCCTGGCTCTGCTGTGCCCCTGGATATAATCCACTTGGGACCATGGGCCTCTCTTCTGAAACTCTAGACAGCCCCTTGTTCCTGACAGGCCTGCTATGGCCCAGCTAGCCAGGTACTTTCCCATCTCACCCCCAGTTTGTAGACTCCGGGGGCATTCCAGAACCTTGACATGCCTGGGCCTGAGACCCTCTGTAGGTGTCTTGGTTGTGGTTTCAGTTGGCTCCCGAATTCTATTATATACAGGAAAAGTCTAGAATAAGTAGGAGGCTCATGCTTACAGTTCCTTCAACTCTATATAACTGAAGATGATTTGAACTCCTGATCCTCCTGCCTCCACTTCCCAAGTGCTGAGGTTCCAAGCATGCACAGGCACACCGGGTACCCCACCTGATTGAAACAAGCCCTTGTCCCTACACTGTGATTGTTACATTGAAATCTATCATGTTGGGGAGTGATTTTCTTTCTTAAAGCTGGCAATGTCCCCTATCACCCCGATCCTAACGACCTAAGTTGTCATTCTCAAAAGCCAGTGATATTCCTGCCTGTGTCAGAACAGCCAGCCCCCAGCAACTCCCTTGGTGGGACCTTCAGGATGTTCTCAGAGCTCCTCTGTTATAAATAAGCCATGTGACTCACACTAGACATAACATGTGTTGGGATTTTTCCCCTTCAAATTATACATCCTCTGTGATGGGACTACTGAATGGGGATGTTTGTCACCTCTGCCAATGAGGACTCTGGAGCCCAGAGAGGCTGACGACTTAGTAATATACCTTGCAGCCAAGGTACCTGAACCCAGATGGTGTGTGTGACTCAGCTGTGTGACTTTGTCTGCCTTGGTTTTCCTCTTGTGACAGCAGAGAGTGCTCATTGCTGAAGGAATGCCTGGCTGAAGGTCCAGCCCTGTCCTTTGGATTGTTGGACTTTGGGGAGTAGAGGCAAAGAGCCCCTCTGGCTTTGCTCTCTCCCTCCCACTGAGCTCAGATCCTTTGTCACCACCTGTCTGCTGGCTCACAGCTCCTAGCCCCTGCTGCATACTCTGCCATACTTCTTTTTATTTTATTTTATCTTATGGGTGTTTTGCCTGCATGTATGTCTGTACTACTTGTGTGTACATGGTGCTCACAGAGGCCCGGAGAGGGTATCAGATCCCCTGGAACTAGATAGAGTTATAGGCAGTTGTGAGCCACCATGTGAGTGCTGAGATTCAAACCAGGGTCCTCTGGGAGAGCAGCCAATACTCTTAACTGCTGAGCCACCTATCCAACCCCTTCTCCACACACCTCAGCCTTCCTGTACTCCCAGCACAATTTCCAGCATCCTGTTTCATGTATCCATTTGCCTGCACACCCCCACTCTGATCTCTGTGCTACTTAGTGTCAGGAACTGGACCTGGGCCTCACTCACTCAATACTGGCTCCCCTGCCCACAAGATGCTGACATGGATGCGCACTCAAAGTTTAGTGATCAGTCTCCACTCTGCTTTTGTTATTTGTTTCTTTTCTTTTTTTCTTCTGGTTTTTCAAAACAGGGTTTCTCTGTGGCTTTGGAGGCTGTCCTGGAACTAGCTCTTGTAGACCAGGCTGGTCTCGAACTCACAGAGATCTGTCTGCCTCTGTCTCCCAAGTGCTGGGACTAAAGGCATGTGCCACCAACGCCCGACTTGTTTCTTTATTTTTTAATGTATTCATTAGCTCTCAGTTTCCATTTAGAGAGACCCTCCCTTCCTCCTGCCAATCTCCACCTTGCCACTTCCAGGGAGCTAAGCCAGGTTAAGACCAGATGTGGCCCTCGTTCTATCTGGAGTCTGGCTGCTGGAATAGCAACCCCAGCACTACTCATTTCCAGCTTTGTGATCTTGGGCAAATTCTTTGGCTTTTCCAAGCCTCAGTTTCCCTATTTGAGTTGAGTACAGCAATAGTACTGGAAATGGCTAGAGTTCTATCTGCCTCCAGTGTCACCTGCCACATGAAACATCTAGATGGCCAGGATCCTGAGCAGAGGGACGCCAGATCCTTGAGTACATGTGGTCCTGTCGTGGCCCACACACTATACAAGGTGAAGATTCACAGTGGGATGGTTGAGGGACCAAATTACTGTGTGGGAACAGAGACATCCCAGTGGGGTATGCCCTGCTCAGCAGAGGAACAGAGCCTCTGGGTTCTCTTGAGGCCAAGCACAGCCTGTGGACACCTCTTGCTTAAGTAGAGCTGGTGTGTTGATTTGAGGTTAGAGATTTACTAAGAGTTAAAATCCACTTACATAAGCTGGGGATTGTGGCTCATACCTGTAATCACAACACATGAGAGGCTGAAGTAGGAGGATTACAAGTTTGAGGTCAGCCTGGGCTACATAGTGAGACCCTATCTCAAAACAAAATAAAATAAATTCAAATACTATATAGTTAACGGGGAATGGCAGGAGACTTACAACACTAGCATTTGGGAGGTGGAGACAGGATGAACAGAAGTTCAATCTCAGCTATGTGACAAGCTCTGGGCCAGGCTAGAAGGGATGCACGAGAATTTGTTTCAGAAAACAAAATACCCACTATGAAATTCACTGCTTTAAAATGAACACAGCAGTGGCCTTTACTTTAATGAATGGACAATGAATTTTTAAAATATTTCCATCATCCCCCAAAAGAAACTCTATCCCCTCAACTGTCCCCATTTACCAAACCAAAACAGTTTATTATTTTTTTTTAATTTATTTATTTTCATTTTATGTGCATTGGTGTTCTGCCTTCATGTATGTCTGGGTGAGGGTGTCAAGTACCCTGGAACTGGAGTTTTAGACAGCTGTGAGCCACCATGTGCTTACTGGGAATTGAACCTGGGTCCTCTGGAAGGGCAGACAGTGCTCCCAACTGCTGAGCCATCTCTCCAGACTCATATGTTTACTATTATTATTATTATGTGGTATGTGTGTGTGTGTAAGCTACCATTTGATGTTGTGTGTTTTCCTCCATCACTTGCTCTCTACCTTATTTTTTGAGACTGTCTCCCCTCAGTCTGGCCAGTTGGCTATCAAGCTCCAGAGACCCACCTGTCTCTGCCCTACAGCACTAGGGTTACAAACCCTATCCCCTATCCCCACCCCTAGCTTTTATGTCAGTGCTGGGGATCTGAACTCAGGTCTTCATCTTATACAACAGTCACTTTACTGTTTGAACCATCTCTCCAGCCTTTTAAATGGTTCTTATATAGTCGTGCCTCAGTATCTTCAGGGGCTTCATTCCTGGATCCCCCACTAAATAAGAAAATCCACAAATGACCAAGTTAATGATGTAATGTTTGCACAGTTCCTATACACATCCTCCTGTGTATAGGACCATCTCTAGGTGACTCCTAACACTTTATAAAATGTCAATCCTATGTAAATTTTTGTTGCCCTGCTCTATTAAGGGAATAAAGACAAAGGAAAATTATGTTTGTTTGAAGTCAGGACAGGCATAGCCTGATTGCATAGTCCACAATTCAGGATGAGTTGAAGCCACTAGGGAGGAACCCACAGACACAGAGGCTGACTGTAAATAGAATTACACAGCATGTGGTCTCTGAGACCAGCTCCTTGCAGCCACCAGGATGTTCTCAAGGTTCATTTACTTTCTATTGTTTTAGCATTGCCTTGCTATTTCCAAGTAACATTCCTTTGAGTGAGTGTGCCGTGTTCCATGCATGAGTGTGTCACTTTTTGACTTAACCATTCACCAGCTGATGGACGTTGGGTTGTTCTAGATGAGGCTTGATGCACAGACAATCACTTCTTTTCTCCTCTAAATCTCTCTCCTCTTCCCCAAGACTGAAAGGCCATTTTGGTTCTCTAAAGCAAGAGGTCCTCTGAGAACTTTGAGGTTAGGGAACCCACAGAAGCAAAAGCAGTTCTGTTTGTCTGAAGCCGGAGGGATATCTAACCACCATTCGAGGCTTTTCATCTGCTCTGGCCAAAGTCTCCCAGCAGAAATGTATGGTTTTGTGGAAGAGGGGACAGAAGCAGAGATCTCAAGAGTGTGTTTAAGCTGGGTGTGGTAGAGCACATGCATAATCTCAGCACTTGGAAGGCTAAACTAGGAGAATTGCCTAGAATTTGAGGCTAGCCTGGGCTACATAGCAAGACTGCCTCAAAGAAAGAAAGAAAGAAAAAAAGCAGAGTTGTTTAGCACTGAATCCGAAAAGCCTCATACCAAGTCTTGTAGCACAGTATAAAAGTAATTTTTTTTTTTTTTTTTTTTTTGGTTTTTCAAGACAGGGTTTGGAGGCTATCCTGGAACTAGCTCTGGTAGACCAGGGTGGCCTCAAACTCACAGAGATCTGCCTGTCTCTGCCTCCCGAGTGCTGGGATTAAAGGCGTGCGCCACCAATGCCGGGCAAAAGTAAATTTTTTAAATAAAAATTTTAATTTTCCTTTTTAAATTTTTATTTACTACATACTTATTTATTTGCTCATTTAGTTGTGGCTTGTATATGTGTGTAGGCATGCCAAGGCACTCATATGGAGGACAGAGAGCAATTTATGGGAGCTGGTTATGTTCTTCCACCATATGGTGTCTCGGGGGTCAAACTCAGGTCATCAGCCAGTAGCAAGCGCCTTCACTCAATGAGCCATCTTGCTGTCCCTTTTTGTCCTCAATAAAAATGTGCTGAGTACATTAAGTGTCACTGGATAGGGTGACGTACTGAGAAGGTGGAAGAAGGAGAATTAGGAGCTAAAGTCATCTCAGCTACAAAGCAAGTCAGCCTGGGCTACATGAACCCCCCCAATCTCAAAACAAAACAAAACAAAACAAAAAACCAAAACAGGGCCTGAGGAGGCAGTGTCTCAGTCAGTCACATGGTCGACATGCAAGTACGAGGACCTGAGTCTGATCCCCATCATCCGTGTGAAGTCAGGATGGCATGTGTTTGTAATCCCATCACTGGGGAAGCAGAGACATGAGGATCCCTGGGGCTTGCTGGCCAGCTAGCAGAACTTGTGTCAAAACCAAGGCTTCTGAAGAACACCACCTTGGGTTGACCTCATGTATGTGCACAACCCTTCGGGCGCATGCATTCATGCATACTCACGTAATAAAAAAAGCCAAGCACACAAAACATGTAAATATTTAAGTACTAATGGTAACCAACTTTGGTGATCACTGTAGCCCACTAATGACAGGCTGTCCTTGCTTTGCAGTCATCAAGAGCCCTGCTGGCTGGGAGGTGGGTGTCTATGCTGCAGGGGCCCTGGCACTGCTTGGAATCGCAGCTGTGAGTCTGTGGAAGCTCTGGACATCGGGGAGCTTCCCCAACCCCTCTCCATTCCCTAATTACGACTACAGGTACCTGCAGCAAAAATATGGAGAGGCCTACGTGGAGGCAAAGCTGAAGGTGAGGCTTCCATTCCTGCAGATCCATATCCCACCATCATTCTGAGGGCCCTCCTCCAGGCCTTGCTGCCTCTGTGATTGGGGATCAAACCTCTTACACCCCTGCAGATCATCAGCTCTTAGCCCTGTGCCTGCTGAATAAATGTTTGATGTTGAGTAAGTGATTGATCACAGTTTTTAAAACTATCACAGCCAAAGCCAGGCATGATGGCCCACACCTTTAATCCCAGCACTTGGGTGGCAGAGGCAGGCGGATCTCTATGTTTGAGGCCAGCCTGGTTTACAGAACAAGTTCCAGGACAAATAGGGCTGTTACACAGAGAAACCCTTTCTTAAAAAACAAACAAGAATAAAATAAATAAATAAATAAATAAATAAAGGAAAAAGGTCTTAAAAACAACTCCCCTATCATGAGAGACTAAATGCTGACAGTTGACACCTGTGTTGTGTGAGATATGCCACACCTGTATCATGTGACACTGGGTGTTGGGACAGTGCACACCTTAATCCTTGACCTTTGGTGGCTCAAGCAAAAGGACCATGAGCTGAAGGCAGCCATAAGCTCTGTACTGCACAGTAAGACCTTGTCTCACAAGACTTTCATGTGGGCCTGGGAGGTGCTTCAGAAGGTAAAGTGACAGGCTCACCTGTCACTAAAACTGATGACCTGGGACCATGGTAGAAGGAGAAGACAGACTCCTCCCACAAGCTGTGGTTCAGACACATCATCACACCATCTCACAGGCAGAGACAAATCAATAAAATGTAACAAAAATTCTAAGACTATCAGGAAAAAAAATATAGAAAAATACCAATAAGAGAAAAACATTTTCACAAATGTTACTACCCAGCTATTAACTACTTTATTTATTTAGAGTTTTTTTTAATATTGCCTTGCTATGTCTTTCTGGAATTTACTATGTAGACCAGTCTGGCCTTGAATTTGTAGTGATCTTCTTGCTTCTGCCTCTGTGTAATGTGTAAAACTTTGTCATTGTTTGGGATGCTGTACTTTTCTTTGTTTTTGTTTGTTTGTTTGTTTGTTGTAAGATTATTTTTTTAAAAATTTCCCCACCAGGTGGTGGTGCTACTTTTAATCCCAGAACTCAGGAGGCAGAGGCAGGTGAATCTCTTGAGTTCAAGGTCAGCCTGGTTTATAGATCAAGTTCCAGGATAGCCAGGGCTACACAGAGAAACCCTGTCTTGAAAAAAAATAATAAATCAAGATAAGGATTTTGTCTGCATGCATGTCTATGCACCAGGTGTGTGCTTGGTGCCTGAGGAGACCAGAAGAGGACATCAGATCCCCTGGAACTAGAGGTAGAAGTGGTCATGAGCCCCCATGTGTCTGAGGGGGGATTGAACCTTCTTCCAGAAGGCAGTCAGTGCTCTTAGCCACTGAGCAGTGTCTCTGCCCTAATATTTATTTTGAAGGCTCTCATACTCACTGCTGAATCTGAGATCATTTAATACTTGGCAGATGATTTTTCAGGCATGAAGTACAGTTTCAGAGAGCACAGCATGACTCCTTTACCAGATCAGGTGCTCACTCATTTGGTGGCACCTGCTACTCTGTTGGGGGAAGTGTGGATTGGGACAACTTTTCCAAGAAGCATTTTGGTAACACACGTTGAAAACTGTCAAAAAGATTGTCCTTGAGTCAGGATTTAAGGAAGCTATTTAAGAGTTGTTCATGGTTTCGTGTGCCTTTAAATCCAGAACTCAAGTAATAGCAAGTTCAAGGCTACCCTGGTTTGCACAGTGAGTTCTAGGCCAGCCAGGGGTACTTAGTGAAACCCTGTCTCAAAAAAAAAAAAAGGAAAGAAAGAAAGAAAGAAAGAAAGCTAATTGTGCCAGGCAGTGTGGCACACACCTTTAATCACAGCACTCGTCTGACAGATGCAGGTGGATCTCTATGAATTCGAGGCCAGCCTGGTGTACAGAGCAAGTTCCAGGACAGCTAGGACTACACAGAGAAACCCTGTTTCTAGCACTCAAGAGAGAGACTCATAAAGATCAGAAATTCAAGGCTGTCCTTGGCTAAATAGGTACATGTGTGGAGGTCAGAGAACAGTTTGTAGGAGACAGTTCTCTCCTACCAACATGTGGACATTGGGAATCCAGGTCAGGTCATCAGACTTGGTGGCAGACACCTATACCTGCTGAGTCATCTCACCGGCTCTTGTGTTTAGTTTTTGTAATCTTCCTTTGACACTACTCAACCATCTGTGCAGTGACTGTACCCCATGATTCTTAACCTAGTCCTTGTCTTTTGGACACTTCAATGGCTGTTGTTGGATTGTTTTGAGACTGGATCTCAGGAACCTGAGGCTGACCTAGATGCTTCTGTTTCTACCTCCCGAATTTTGGGGTTATGTATGTGCCCCTCCACACCCAGCAGCTTTTCCTTTTTATAAATGTCCTTTGATGGCTGTTGTTGGATTGTTTTGAGACTGGATTTCAGGAACCTGAGGCTGACCTAGATGCTTCTTTTTCTACCTCCCGAATTTTGGGGTTACGTATGTGCCCCTCCACACCCAGCAGCTTTTCCTTTTTATAAATGTCCTTTCAGTTGATATTTTTATGTATGGAGTTTTTGTCACAACAAATAAGTAGTTTAAGAAAATGCTTTCTTGGGCTGGAGAGGTGGCTTAGCAGTTAAAAGCACTGGCTGCTTTTCCAGAGGACCTGGGTTCAATTCTCAGCACCCACACGGCAGGTCATAGCTGTCTGTAACACCAGTTTCAGGGGATCTGATTGCTGTCACACAGACATACATGCAGCCAAAATACCAATGCACATAAAATAAGAATAAATAAATCATTTTAAAATGTTAAAAAAATCTTTTTAAAAAAATATTTTCTTCCATTCTGTTTAAGGAGAGAAAACTAAGCTAGATATGGTTGGTGCAGAATGTAACCCCAGCACTTGGGGATTAAAGCAGGAGGGTCAGGAGTTCCAGGCCAGCTAGGAATAGGAAGCAAGTTCCTGTACTGAGAGAGAGAGAGAGAAAGAGAAACAAAGGGGCCTGAAGCACAGAACTCCTGGGCTGGTTTTGTGAAAAGAGATTGAATAGGCAAAGGTCATCTCAGCTGTCCCCTAGAGATGGTGCTGTGTGACTTATGTGATGTTCCCTGTCCCTTGTTTACCTGCAGAGAGTCTCTCAGTGGAATGCCCAGAGGACCAACCCTCGGGGACCACCCAGCCGCAAAGGCAGCCTCAGTATTGAGGACACCTTTGAAAGCATCAGTGAACTGGGACCCCTGGAGCTGATGGGCCGAGAACTGGACCTGGCCCCCTATGGTACTCTCCGCAAGTCACAATCTGCTGACTCTCTGAACTCCATTTCCTCTGTGAGCAACACCTTTGGGCAGGATTTCACACTGGGCCAGGTGGAGGTTAGCATGGACTATGATGCGGGCTCCCACACCCTCCACGTGGCGGTGTTGCAAGGCAAGGACCTCCTGGAGCGGGAGGAAGCCACCTTCGAATCCTGCTTCATGCGTGTCAGTCTGCTGCCGGATGAACAGATCGTTGGCATCTCCCGGGTAAGTAGGGTTGGGGCCGAGAAATGCACTGGGTTCCCTGAAGCCTTCCAGGGAAGCTGACATCTGGGCTGGTGGGCAGATCTTCAGTATCAGACAGGAAGACAGGGGGCGCTGGAGAGCAGATCAGAATGTGGCTCCGGAGTAGAATAGCCAAGCATAGAACCAGGCTCCTGCTGTGTACAGATTTCAATCTTTCTATCACTCAAGGACAGTGAATAACTGTCCACCTCCACATCTGTCAACATGGAGCCTTGGCAAGAAGAAAGATGACCCGCTCATTTGACAGATCTGGGAGAGAGTTCAATGACAGACTCGTTTGCTGTTTGCTTTGGAGTGAGTGGTGGAGGGGTGGCCTCAGTGGTGGTGTGGTTCCATGGGTTTGTGAACAAGAAGGGAGGCCCACCCCAGGGACTGAAAAAAACATGAGAGGAAAGTGAGTTTCTGGACCCCAGATGAAAGGGTCACCCTCATAGAGCTGTGTTCTTTCATGAGAGGGTATGGTCTGACCCCCACCCCCGGGGGAAACTTGACCCTCCCTCTGATCTGTTTTCTTCTGCTGATACCACCCTTAGCAATCAGTAATCAAGAGGAAAGGAGTTGGATCCAACAAGGAGGTCACAGGATACCTCCAAGGTGCCGCACCTTGACAGCCATGCCCACTGCTCAGCAGCAGGCTGGTAGGAGTCCAGACCCTGAACCCTTTAGATGGGCAAGGCCAACCCTCAGTGACCTGTGCCCTGCATGACCAGGGTCTTCTGTGTTCTTGCAGACCCATATGTTCCTCGTCACTTTTTACCATATTGAACATTAGCTGGCTGGCTCTCAGAGGTAGACATCCCACCCCCACCCCTCCATAGTGCCCCTATAATTCTAGAACTAACCACCAGCTTGATACATGTGGTATCAAGGGTCTAATTTTCTACTGGCAGTACAATGGCAGTTAGTGGTTAAGAATCAGGTTAAAATCCAAGTTCCACCTTCACCTGGCAGTGTGACCTTGAGCAAGTCACTTAAGCAGCTGGCTTCAGTTTCCCCTCCTGTCAAATAAGCATCACAATTATGAAGAAGGGCTGGGGTTATACATACAAAGTGCTTAACTCAATCCTTGGTAGGTGGTCAGGACAGGTTTTCAGAACCATGGAGAGCTGCTGTTGAGCCTGATATACATTATGTTTCTCTTGACCTATGCCACGTGAAAGGCTTTGGGTGACTCAAGACATGTCCCTTGAGAAGGGACATTGGCGGACAGAAGCTTGGGAGAATCTGAGGCAGAGCACTGTGTGGTAACATGGCTCCTGGTTTGTGTATTGGGGTGGAATGGCTGCAGGAAGAACCTTCCAGAGCCTGGCAGAGACAGAGGGGTGAGATCAAAGTAGCTGGAGACTAGCAGGCTTTGCTCCTAGGAAGATAGGCTTCGTGACATCACAGCCTAGCAGTCTCACTGTGGGGGTGGGGTGTTGCCTCCAGGTCGAACAACCCCCTCAGCTTCAGAGAAGATGCCAGGGATGAGAGCTGCTCTGTAAATACCACCACACAGTGACTCAGACGGCTCCCACAGAAGGGCAAGCAGAGTCTCACGTGAGCCTCGCTGAGGACTGCCCACAGCCTTCTGGGAGAAGGCCAATGGTATCCAAAGTGGGAGTGAGCTAGGGAACGAAGCATGCCCAGCCCTGCCTAGTCACTCCATCCATCTGTCTGTCCACTCATCCATCCATCCTATGACAATCAGAAAGTCTTTGCCAGGCTTTACAGGGGACTGTGGTATTAGTGGCTGTTTACTCTATGGACAATTGTCTGGTTTCTACTGCATGCCTGCCCCACAGCTGTGCTAAATTGGACAGACAGGGGAGATAGAGACCAGTGCAGCCACAGCATCTTGTGAGGATGAGGATTACTGGGAATCAATTATGGAAGCTTCTAATGCCAGGCCAATGGGTTGACCATAACCAAGAAGGGGACATTGGGGCTTATAAACCTTCAAGGTGACCTCAGCATTTAGGAGATTGAGGCAGAAAAATCGGGAATTCAGGGTTGTCCTTGGCTACATAATGAATTTGAGGCCACCTTGAACTACATGAAACCCTGTCTGAAAACAACCCAAAACCAATCAAAACAACAACAACAACAACCAAAAACCTTCAGGTCTACAAGGCCTGATAACTGGTACTATAATCACAGTGCTCTGAAGGCTAAGACAGGAAGATGACTGTAAATTTAAGACTAGTCTGGGCAATATAGTGAGTTCCAGACCAGCCAGAGCTGCATAGTGAGATCCCATCTCAGAAAAGAGTAAGAGGAGGGAGGTGAGGTGTGGAGGACCATGCTTGTAATTTTTGGAGTTAGTGGCAGGAAGCTCGGGAGTTCACCCTGAGCTATGTGGGAGCCCGTCTCAAAACAAAACAAAATTAAGAAAATAAATCTTGAAGGCTGAACACAAAAGGAGGACAGGAATTGAGACTATGGGTACCAGAAAGCCCCTCCATGGCCCCTTCTCTCTATAGATCCAGAGGAATGCCTACTCCATCTTCTTCGATGAGAAGTTCTCTGTCCCCCTGGATCCCACAGCCCTGCAGGAGAAGAGCCTTCGATTTTCTGTGTTCGGCATTGATGAGGATGAAAGGAACGTTAGCACCGGTGTGGTGGAGCTGAAGCTGTCTGTTCTGGACCTCCCACTGCAGCCCTTCAGTGGCTGGCTATACTTACAGGACCAGAATAAGGTATCACATGCTTTGGCCTACCCGTTCATCTGAGGAGAGACTATCCAAACCCACTTCCCAGGAGAGATGCCGCTATCCTGTCCCTAGACTTGGACCCTGACAGCATTAGGACAACAGAGAAAGGTTCCAAGCCACACTCCAGGGAAACAACTCACTGTATGTGGTGGAAAAACACTCTATAGACATCACTGTTTATAGCTCTTCTTTGATTTATTTTATTTTATTTATTCATTTATTTGGTTTTTTGAGACAAGGTTTCTCTATGTAACAGTCCTGGCTGTCTTAAAACTTGCTCTGTAGACCAGGCTGGACTGGAACTCATAGAGATCCACCTGCCTCTGCCTCAGGAGTGCTGGGGTTAAAGGCATGTACCACTACCACCCAGCTTCTTTAATTTTTTTAACATCACATTTATTTATGTATTTATTGTGTTTTCTGTGTGCATGTGTGTACGGACATGCATATACACACAGAGAAGGTATGTGGAAGTCAGAAGACCCCTTGTCTTCTACAAGTAAGTTGGTTCTCACCTTCACCATTTGGGTTGTGCATATTGAACTCAGGCCATTGGGGTTAGTGGCAAGTGCTTTTACCCATTGAGCCATCTCTCCTGACCACTTCTCAGTTCTTTCTTTTATTATTTAGTGTTTATTTGTTTTTACTTGATGTTTTATTTATTTAATCTTGTGAGTGTTTTGCCTGGTTTGCTTGGATATGCATATGTATATCATGTGCAGGTCTCAAGCCCATGGGGGTCAGAAGAGGATGTCCAGTACCCTGGAACTAGAGTACATATGATTGTGAGCTGCATTGTGGGTGCTGGAGACTAAACCTGGGCCCTCCAGAAAAGCACCCAGTGCTCCTAACTGCTGAGCCAATTCTCCAGCCCCTCATCTCTGTGACTTATTACCACATCATCAGAGGTTCTACTCCTATAAGCTACTGTTAGGGATGCGTAGGTCTGGCCCTAATGAGGGTTATTTCAGACAGGGGCCAAGCTGAAGCTTACTTTTTTTCTTTTCTTTCTTTTTTCTTTTTCTTTTTCTTTTTCTTTTTTTTTGGTTTTTCGAGACAGGGTTTCTCTGTGTAGCTTTGGAGCCTATCCTGGCACTCACTCTGGAGACCAGGCTGGCCTCGAACTCGCTGAAGCTTACTTTTATTATTGTAACAATGCCAGAGACCACGATTGCTTAAGCAAATGCTGTCAACTTAGATCTCTTTGCACTAGTCATAGAATGCTTTCCTTGGCCCTGAATGAGGGAACAAAACTGCATCTCACTGGTGCATTTGACAGGCAACCTCTGGGCCTCCTTCCAAGGCATGGTCTACACCCGGGAGCAAGGGAGGGTCTGTGCATACTCCCTGGTGTGGCAGTGGGTGGTAGGTTGTCTTTTTCTCAATCCTGCCAGCTTGGGTGCCTAGGTTTAAGAGTTACCCCAGAAGGAATCGTCCACCTTTCCCTGGACCCCTTAACCCTGGAGGGCAGAAGATTCCTGAGTCATACCTATTTTCATAGGTGGCTGATGCTGTGGGAGAGATCCTGCTGTCCCTCAGTTACCTGCCCACAGCTGAGCGTCTGACTGTGGTTGTGGTGAAAGCCAAGAATCTCATCTGGACCAATGACAAGGCCACAGCAGGTGAGAGCCTATGCACTCAGCTCCTCCACGAGGCTGGGAGGGGGGGTGAGGGGCGGGCTGTAGTGCTATGCACAGGTCCCAGGCACAGGGCCAGAGCCCCTGTGGCTTCAGCTAAGCTCAGGAGCCAGGCATGATGAGGAAAGGTTAATTCAGCAAGAGAAACATGGGAACCCTGGAGGGTAACAAGCAGCCCAGGGTGTGGAGTGGAGAGTGAAGGGAAAAGTGATGGAATCTGAGGGCAGGAATCTGTAACACACTTGTGCTGTGGCACCAGACAAGAAATGGAGAGTGAGCATCCATTTGTCAGAACCTGAGCTCAGAGACAGGGCAGCAACCCAGACTTTCAATGGGGAGCGGTGCCCCAACCCTTGGGGTGGAGAGGGGCCATGTGGGATCTAACATCCTAGGTCTGCAGGGACCATTTGGGACTTGCCTGCCTAGTGCCCCGGGCAGTAGGAAGAGTTGGTATCTCAGAGCTGCACACTGTTAGGCTCTGCTGTGTTGGCATTCAGTGACTCAGGTCTGCTACCTGTACTCAGGCCACTAACAGCAAGAGAAGCATCTGGTCTGCCTCCTCCCAGGGAATATGTGTGAGGGAAATAGGAAGTAGACTGCCCACTCTTGACTGGCCATGAGTGCATTGGGCTTCTCAACCGGGAAATGGATTTTAAATAATTTCAAGGGTTTGGGGATTGTAGCTCAGTTGATAAGAGTGCTTGTCTAGCATGCATGAAACCTTGGATTCAGTAATCACACTGCATAAAACATGGGCCCTGCGGTGTCAGCACACACCCTTAATCCCAGCACTCGGAAGGCAGAGGTAGGCGGATCTCTGTGAGATTGAGGCCAGCCTGGTCTACAAAGTGAGTTCCAGGACAGCCAGTGCCACACAACACAGTGAAACCCTGTCTCGAAAACAACAAAAACCATAACATTGTAGTACATGCATATAATCTTTGCACTCAGGAGGTGTGGACAGGAGAATCAGAAACTCAAGGTGATTCTTAAACTAACATCAAGCTATGCCCAGCCATTCTGGAGGCTGAGGCAGGGAGATCCCTTAAGCCCAGGAGTTCAGAACCAGCCTGAAACACATAATGAGACCTTGTCTCTCAGTATCAGTCAATCAATCAATGCCCAAGAGCAAACCAGGTTGGTGGCTCCTAGCAGTCCATGGGGTGAGGCACTAGGATTACAAATTCAAGGCCAACCTGTGTTACATAGCAAGAACTGTCTCAAAAATAAACAGAACTGGTGAGATTGCTCCAAGGTTAAGAGAGCACTTGCTGCTCTTAGAGAGGACTGGAATTTGGTTCCCAGCACCCACATTGGCCAGTTTACAACTGCCTGTAACTCCAGCTCTCTGACACCCTCTTCTAGACTCTGTAGGCACTGCTTTCATGTATCTACACCCAAACAGAGACACTTACTATATACGTAATCTAAATACATAAATTAAAATAAAAGTAAATCTTAAAAAAGAATAAATAAGCCAGGTGGTGGCACAAAACCACACTTTGAAAAACAAACAAACAAACAAACAAACAAATAAGTCAGGCATTGTAGTTTGCAGCTTTTATCTCAGGTAGGAAGATCCCGTAAATTCAGGAGTTTAGAACCAGCCTGGAACACATAATGAGATCTCATTTCTTTTTTGTTGTTGTTTTGTTTTGTTTTTGATTTTTGAGACAGAGTTTCTCTGTGTATCTCTGACTGTCCTAAAACTCACTCTGTAGACCAGGCTGGTCTCACACTCACAGAGATCCGCCTGCCTCTGCCTCCAAGTTCTGGGATTAAAGGCGTGAGCCACCATAGCACTGCTACATTTCTTTTTCTCTTTCTTTTCTTTTCTCTTTCTTTCTTTCTTTCTTTCTTTCTTTCTTTCTTTCTTTCTTTCTCTTTCTACCTTTCTTCACTCCTTCCTCCCTTCTTTCCTTTCTTTTTTCAGGACAGGGTTTCTTTGTGTAGCCTTGGTTGTCTTAGAACTAGCTCTATAGACCAGGCTGGCCTCAAACTCACAGAGATCCCCCTGCCTCTGCCTCCCAAATGCTAGGATTAAAGTTGTGCACCACCACTGCCCAGCTGGCTCCATTTCTTAATATAAATAAATACCAAGCAGTGGACTTTGGAGATAATGGCAATAGCCAGGGGCCAGGGAATTGGAGGCAGTGAATAGAGCCAGAGTAGACAGGGCCATGACAAGCAAGCATGTTACTGACCTTCCCCCACTTACCTCCTCCCAGACCCCTTTGTCAAAGTATACCTGCTGCAGGATGGGAGGAAGATGAGCAAGAAGAAGACGGCTGTGAAGAGGGATGACCCCAACCCAGTGTTCAATGAAGCAATAATCTTCTCAGGCCCTGCCATTGTGTTACAGGTGAGGTGCGCTGGATCCTCACAGGACTCTGGGCCATCCCTCCAGTGTTGCCTTGTGGTACCTCAAGCCAACCTCCTTCTAGTTAATCATTGATTGAGCCCACCACTACACACCAGCCTGTGGTGAGGGTTGGGGACCCAGGCACTGCTTTCTTTTTGGGGACAAAGGACAGGTATGGAAGTCCCCAGACTTTGTAAACCCCATTGGAAGTTTCCCCTGCATTAGTAGTCAGGGCAGACTTTCTGCAGGAGATGACAGCTCAGCTGAGCTCTGAGGAACCACACTACCTTAAGATGAGCTAGAGGTAACCCCAGGGCTCAGAGGTGTGGGCCTAAGCCTTCAGAGATCCTACTGCAAGGACCCCACTAGGATCTTCTTGCCTTAGGGCTTCCAGACGACTATCTGCTTCCGGGAGAACACTCCTGACGCAGGGATACCATACACTGGTAGTGGGTGGTAGAATGAACCACAGAGAATATATCTTAAGCCGTATCAGTTGGAGAGTAGGGATCTCTCTCCCTTCTCTCACTGTCTCTTTCTATCCTTAGGCATACCTAACAACAAGAGAGTCCTTTCATCCTTGTACTGAAGTCTGCCCTGCAGCCCAGGGACTGGGGTGTGTGTACCTTGTCCCCTCCTAGGGATGGTCTTGAGGATTTCTTTGTTTTTCAGAGCTGATGATGAACTCAAGGCTTTTTCATATGCTAGGCAACCACTTTACCACTGAGCTACCCTGCCAGCCCCTGAAGATTTGAAAGCTGGATGTCAGCCTCACTCTGGGTGTCCCAAATCCAGGAATCCAGGCAACATTCCAGCACATCTGGCTGGTCCTAGGATCATAATCTTGACCCCGCTTTTGTCCTGTTTGTCACAATGCCACTTCCTTACAACTTCCAAAAATGAAGCTACAGGGGTCGGGGGGTTGGGAACTAGCTAAGAACAGTTGGGCAGACATCACAAATTGTTCTTACTTAACACTGCCCTCAGCTGCCCTCACTGCCCTCACTTGATTACAGCAGGGCCAGTGAGAGACCCCTGTGTATGTGCTCTGTTGATAGGCCAGTACCAGGTCACACATTTTCTGTTTTTAGGTTTTTATCCTCACCTACATGTTTAATTAATTTTCTTCCCAGAACAGCCCTGAGACATAGGAAACGATGTTACGTTTTAAAGACAGGTAGCAAAGGCCCAAGGCCAAAAGCCCAAGTGTTAGAGCACTTGTTTAGCACACACAAAATCCTGGGTTTCCAACACACACACACACACACACACACACACACACACGAATGCACACACTACACATACATGAATGCATACACACAAACATGCACACGCATACACACACTACACATACACACACATGTACTCGTTTGTATACAACACATACACACACACACACACACACACACACACACACACACACACCCACACCCCCCCAACACACACACACACACACACATCCTGCACCTCATAAACCAGGCCTGGTGGTGCACTCACTCAGGAGGTGGAAGCAGGGAGATCAGAAGTTCAAAGCCATCCTCTGCTCTGTAGGGATTTTGAGGCCAGCCTGAACTATAGATAAATATAAACAGTGAGGTAGCCATGGCAGCACATACCTTTAGTTCCAGCACTTGGGAGGTCAAGGCTGGCTGCTGATTTCTATGAGTTTGAAGTTAGCCTGGTCTACATAGTGAACTGCAGGCTAACAAGGGCTACATAATGAGACTCTGTTTAAAAAAACAAAATAGAACAACAACAACAAAAAAAGGGAGATAACATCATGGTATATACCTTTAATCCTAGTACTTGAGAGGCAGAAGCAGGCTTGGTATTCAAGGCAAGTTCCAAGACAGTCAAGGCTATTACACTTACACAAAGAAACCCTGTCTCAGAAACAAGCAAACAAAAAACAACAACAAAGCAAGGGACTGGAGCAGTTAAGAGCACTGGATGTTCTTCCAGAGGACTTGGGTTCAGTTCCCAGCACCCACTTGGTGGCTCACACCACCTGACTCCAGTTCCAGGGGACCCAGCACCCTCCTGGGCATTGTACACATGTGGTGCACGTACACACCTGGAGGCAAACACCCATACATACAAAATAACCTATTTTTTAAAAGGAAAACAAGCCAAAAAATTTAAGACCAACCAACAAATAGATAAACAGCCTAAGTTCTAAGCTTGATATGGTAGCATGCACTTGTAATCCTAGTACTTGGGAGGCCAAGGCAGGAAGATCAGGAGTTCCAGTACAGCTTCAGCTACATAGCAAGTTCAAAGTCACCCTGGGCTACATGAGACTCTATCTCAAGAATAAGTATGAGACTATCTCAAGAATAAGTGCTGGAGATATGGCTCAGTGGTGCAGAGCACATACTTCTTTTTTATATATAAAGGTATTTATTTTTATTTTATATGCATTGGTGTTTTTCCAGCACGTATGTATGTCTGTGTGAGGGTGTCAGATGCCCTGGGACTGGGGTTACAGACAGTTGTGAGCTGCCGTGTGGGTGCTGGGACTTGAACCCAGGTACTCTGGAAGAGCAGTCAGTGCTCTTTACCACTGAGCCATCTCTCCAGGCCTCAAACACATACTTCTTTTACAAAGGACCCAAGTTCAATTCCCAGTACCCACATCAGATGGTTCACAGCTACCTGTAATTCTAACTTCAGGTATCCAGTGCATTCTTCTGACCTCTGTGGGTATTGCACTCACATGCACATATACCCTATAATGGCATATATAATTTAAAATAAAATTTTTTGGGGGGGGGTTTCGAGACAGGGTTTCTCTGTGGCTTTGGAGGCTGTCCTGGAACTAGCTCTTGTAGACCAGGCTGGTCTCGAACTCACAGAGATCCACCTGCCTCTGCCTCCCGAGTGCTGGGATTAAAGGCGTGCACCACCAACGCCCGGCTCAAAATAAAATGTTTTTAAGGTTTATATTATTTTATGTGTGGGGGTATTTTGCCTGCATAACAAGTGTGCCTGGTGCCACAAAGGCTAGAAGATGGTTAGGATACCCTGAACTGGAGTTACTGAGCCATCATGTAGGCCCTGGGAATCAAACCAGGGTCCTCTGCAAGAACAGCAAGTGTACTTAACTGCTGGCCCATCTTTTCAATCTCAAAAATAAAATAAATCTTAAAGAAAAAATGTTGAGAGACAAAGAAATGAGAGATGGGTTTTAAATCCTGCTGGAATTTTTAGCACTTAGTGAGGTCACATCATAGCTGGCTATCCATCTGTAAGTAACTAGGACAAGTCTCCACTCCCAAGTCATGTGGGAAGATTCAGAGGGCTGGATGTACTTCACAGGGCTTGGTATTCACAAGTTGGGACCGTGAAGCCAGGGAGAACCCTTCAGCTGTTCCTGGTCCCAATCTTTCATGTCTCCTTCTCCCCAGGACCTGTCTCTCCGAGTGACAGTGGCTGAGAGCAGCAGTGATGGCCGTGGGGACAACTTGGGGCATGTCATCATTGGGCCAGCAGCCAGTGGCATGGGCACCACACACTGGAACCAGATGCTGGCCACACTACGCAGACCTGTGTCCATGTGGCACCCAGTCCGGCGAAACTAGCAGCCAGGGCAGGCCAGATGGGCAGCAGAGCCACCAGAGCCTGGCACCATCTCAGTTCTATCCAGTGATGCCCTCTCCATAGTCAGCTGGAGCCGTGAACACTGAGGCTGCCCCTCCTCCCAGGGGGTCCTCATCAGCCATCTTGGATCCTCTGTCCAGACTGTCATGGAGGAATGGGTGTGGCTCTTCACCTGAGGACCTAGGGTAATTTCCCCACTAATGACCACATGGAGCTGGCTGGGGACCCAGCAGAATGATCAACTGTGTACTAGAAAGCCTAATGACGGATGTCCCTAGCCTGCAGAGGCATATGGGCTTCAGAGCTAGCCAACCCCCCTCCGAAATTCTCTTAGAAGCCAGATGCTAGTAAGTCTTGAGGGACTAGTCCCTGTACTGAGAGGGCTATGTTAACAAGACGTAGCACCCAGGATACCACGCCAGGAAGTCAAGATGGCCCTCTCCCATCCAGGTTACTAATCAAGTAACTGCCCATCCAGATGGACTTGGGAAGCAGCCCTCTGGTTTGGGGAGACGGGGAGAATCTCTCAGACAAGGAAGGAGCTGCACTTTGAGGATTAGGGAGTAAACAGCACCCAGAGTTAGCAGGGTAGTGGGAGCTGTGGTGAATAGTCAAGCAATAGAAGGGAATGAATTAGCCCATCCCAAACACACACTATTCCCATTGCTGTGGGAACAAGAAAAAAACAGGAGACTAGGCCCAGAGGAAGCCTGCAGGCCACATGAAAGCTCTCCCGACCTTACACCCTGAGAGAACCAGAAATCACCAAGGGCCCAGATCCAGGCCCTTGTGTTTGGATCCAGTGCAAATCAGCACAGATCCACCAGCGCTGGCTGCTGTCCCTCCAGGCCAGGCCTCTCTTGAAAGGAAGCTCTAAGGCAGGCCTAAATTCACGCCTAGGAGTACTGGGCATCTTAGGTCAAGTTCCCTAACACCGAGTCTTCAAGGATATTTAGCCTTAGTCTGGAGCCAGTAGGGACTCTGGGGGAAAGGTGTTCAGAAGCCAAAGGTCGGATTGTACATCATTAGTAGAATCCTTCATTGGCTCACACCTGGTCAGAATTAGTGGGGGTATCGCATCCTTCATAAATGTCATTTGGTAATGGCAATCCCAGAGAAGTGGTGGCTTTTGGCTTCTTCTCTCTGGCACCTGCAGATTTAAAAGGATAGTGGCCATGGGGAGTGGTAAGAAGACGGCTCAGGTAGCTGCCTCTGGTCCTTGACCCTAATGAATTATGAATACTCAGATCCAATGAGGAACCACGGAGACCCAGGTCTAGTCAATTACCATCAATGACAAGAAGAAGGATGGCTAGAACAGAGACACAGGTCAATAGGACTGGAGGCAGGACGCCTGCCACAACTGGACCCTCCCGAAGCCAGGTTTCTCAGCCTGTGGCCAATATCAAGAAGTGAATTCTGGACCAGGGATACTGGTAGCTGGGCCAGACCTTGTCATCTGGAAGCCCCAGACTCTAATCAGTTTTGCAGGGCAGACTACATCCCCCAACCTCTGTCCCCCTGTTCCTTTCTTCTATACTGCATGAAATGTTGACAGTGTGCTCGGATGGCTGTGGTGGTGACCAAGAATGCCGAGTGGAATGATTTGTGAACCAAAATAAAGCTGGAGCAGGAGGGGGCTTGCTGGGAGCCCTGCTCAGCCTAGAGTCATGTTACTATCCTCACTGGGAACCCTCTTAGACCTTGGGCCCCACAGGGCTACTGTGTGCTGTCATTCCTGAACTGCTGGCAAGGGGGGCTCTAAAGAGAGGTTCCCAGTACCAGTCCTGGTAGGGAAAGGTGGGGATGGGGCAATCAAGGAAGGCTTCCTAGTAGTGGCACTTAGTTGAGTATTCAATATGTGAGGCAGGAAAAGCATTCCCAGTAGAGAGCACATTAGAAGAGGTCAGGAAGGGACCAACACTGGGCAAAGTTCTCTGCCTTGCTAGCTCAGGGGGAGGGAACGGAAGATCAGGGAGGCAGAGCATAGGCCAGAGAGGGATAAAGCGCCTTCCTTTCAAGGTCATTTAGAACTGGTACTCAGCCTGCAATCCAGTAGCCCTGAAAAGCAGGCAACTGTAGAGATGTAGAAACCAGAGCTTAGAGAAGTTAAGTGACAGGCCTATGATCACACAGCCAGAAAGTCACAGTTATGATTCAAGTTCAGGTTATAGGATTCAAAAGCCCATGATGCTCTCAAACCTGAGGTCACACTATCCCCTTTCCAACTCCTCAAAAGTCACTGAAAGGCAGCTGAGAACCTTCTGGATCCCAGCATACTCGCCTCCTCTCCTTCCTCTCTTTCCCCTGGGAGCTCACAAGCTAGATAAGAATTCCCAGAACCTTGGGGCTGGAGAGATGGCTCAGAGGTTAAGAGCACTGACTACTCTTCCAGAGGTCCTGAGTTCAAATACCAGCAACTACATGGTGACTCACAACCATCTATAATGAGATCTGGTGCCCTCTTCTGTATACATAATAAACAAATGAACTAAAAAAAATCCCCAAAAGGGGTCCATAGGGCAGATCTGATCCTATGTGCTGTATGCATGGATGGAATTCTCAAGAACAAAGAAATTTTTGGTCGTTTTCCTCATTACCTCCCCCCCCACACACACACAGGGTTTCTCTGTGGCTTTGGAGGCTGTCCTGGAACTCTCTCTGTAGACCAGGATGGTCTCAGACTCAGAGATCTGCCTGCCTCTGCCTCCCAAGTGCTGAGATTAAAGGCATATGCGGCCACCACCCTCTGACTTAAGAATAAAGAAAATTTAAAATTCCTAGCATTCCCAGTAGACCACAGGTCACAGACCAGACTGGTGTTGAATGTCTGGAGAACTGTAGCCTGGCAGAGACTTGAGAGGCCAAGGGAGATGGAGGCTCCCAGCCTCCCAGATGAGGCAGAAGGTCCCTGTTCTGCTGGCAGGAGGGAGCCAGGAAAAGGCTTGGAGCAACAGCAGGTCTCAGGTTGGGGTGAGGACCAGGAAAGAAAGTGAAAAAGCGTTGTAGGCAGAGAGGGGCAGGGAGGCAGGTCGCTCAATTATCTCTAGGGGGTTCGATAAAGAGTACTCTAAAGGGGTACTCAGGCTGGAGAGATGGCTCAGAGGTTGAGAGCACTTGCTGCTCTAACAGAGGAACCAGGTTCAGTTTCCAGCAGCCACATGGTGGGCCCACAACAGTCTGTAACTCCACTTCCAGAGGATCTGGAGCCCCCCTTTTTCCTCTAGGTCATGCATGCGATCCACATATATACATGCAGGCAAAACGCTAATACAGATAAAGAACAAATTTTTCTAAAACAAAAAAAAAAATCACAGGTGCTACTGGAGAGAAGCAGGATGGTTGAGGCTGGCAGAGGCAGTGCCAGCCTTCCCCATCTTCTTCATGACTCTTCACCTGCACCCACCCCTTCCAACCCAGTCCCTGAGCTCCCATCCTTTCCCACCCTTTCATCTTCCCTATTCCACCTGCCCACGGGCCACCTTCAGAGTCTGGGTCCCCTCTCTCTGAGATCTCATCCAAGAGGAAAGATGTCAGTAGCTGACACAGTATTGCCAGAGGGAGGTCTGCCCATGGAAGAGGAGGACTGGTGACTGCATCTCTTACCGCTTCCTCCTCTCCCCTGCCCGAGCAACCCATTTGTGCCTGCAGATACCCAAAGTGAGTTAATTAGGGGGCTAAATGAGTGCTGACATGGGACCACAGTGATCCCTCCCTGTTCAGTTCCTCCAATTACTGGCTCACCCTTCCTAGCAGGGAAAGCCAGACAGTAGACAGGTAGAGGAAGAGGCTAGCAGGAGGCAGGTGCAACTGGGAGTTGGACTCTCCCAGAAGGATGATTGGGAAGGAGCGCCTTCTGGGTTCTCTGGGACATAGGCCTAGGACTGCTTATCTGCTGTGTGAAAAGTTACTTCCACTCTCAGGGCCTCAGTTTCTCCAACTGAAAAATGAAGAGTGTTGGACAAGTTGGCCCATAAAAGGCTCCTCATGAGCCGGGCGTTGGTGGTGCACGCCTTTAATCCCAGCACTCGGGAGGCAGAGGCAGGTGGATCTCTGTGAGTTCAAGACCAGCCTGGTCTACAAGAGCTAGTTCCAGGACAGCCTCCAAAGCCACAGAGAAACCCTGTCTCGAAAAAACAAAACAAAACAAAAAGGCTCCTCACACCTCTGACTTTATTTTTTTAATTTAAAAATGTAATTTTATATGTCAAGTGAATGTTTTGCATGGATGTGTGTGCACCTTGTGTGTTCCCATTGTTCACAGAGGTCAGAAGAGGGATAGTATACCCTGAAATTGGATTTACTGGCTGTAAACCACCATTTGGTGCTGGGAACCAAACCAAGGTCCTTTGCAAGAGCAACAAGTGCTATTAACCACTGAGCCATCTCTCCAGTTGCCCCCTGCCCTTTTATTTAGAGGCAGGGCCTCATAGATCCTGGGCTGGCCTCAAATTCACTATGTATATAAGGATAACACTGAACTCCTATTTCTCCTGCCCTCCTCCCAAGTGCTGTGATTACGGGCCTTGCCACCTCCCTGGCATAATTTCTAAGGGTTCTGTATGGACAAACTCTGGAACTCGATGTCCAGGTTTAACTGCCAACTGGACCTTAGCTAAATTATCTCTCATCTTTAGGCTTCTGTTTCTTCATTTTTCAAAGGTGCCTAGGACTCATATGTATTTCAAAGAGCAGAATGAAATGGCGTGTGCCAAGTGTCTGGCACACAGTATGTCAGTTTATGTGAGGGCAAAGTTTTGAGTGGCACAGTCCAGTCTGAGTCCAAGGACTTCTGGGATCTGACGGTTGGGATTAAAGGGGGAGCATCAAGTGCACATGCAAAGGCTTGAAGAGCTGCACCCCAGGTCACACTGCGAAGGCTCCCCAAAGGCAAGGCCATATCTACACAGACACCGAGCACCCCATGCCAGGAACCCCAGGGAAAAGCCCTGGTGATGACCTGCAGAGAGCAGAATGGCCACACAGTGGCAGCAAAGAATTAGAACAGCCTGAGATGCCTAGCTGCAGGGATGGGTAAAGGCAGACCAGAAAATGGGGTTGAAAGTTAGGGGTCTATCCTTGGAGCAAGCAGAGGCTGCAGAATATGCCCCACCTCTGGTCACAGTTATACTTACTTATCCTTCATCTCTTCTTTATTTACTTATGTATTTGTTTGTTTTCGAGGCAAGGTCTCACTGTGTAACCCTGTCTAGCTTGGAACTTGCTATGTGGATCAGACTGGCCTTGAGCTCACAGAGAACCGCCTGCCTCCTGGGTACTAGGGTTACAGGCACGTACAACACTAAGCCATTTGGCCAGTTTGTTCTTTGAATCCCCTCTTTCTTTCTTTCCTTCCCTTCTTCCTTCCCCATCTCCCTCCTTTCCTCCTCCTGTCCTTTCCTCCCTCTTTTCTTTATTCTATCCTTTTCTTTCTTCTCTTCCTGTGTTTGTCCAGCCAGGCTGTCAATTAGACATAATATCCGGAACCACAGCTGGCGCCAGCCTGAGATAGTCTGGGGTACAGAAATGGGTCAGCTGCGGTCCCTGCTCTTGAGGTGGTCATGGCGCTGCTGGAGACCTGCTTCACCAAGAACAACATTCCAGGCAGATGCTGGCCCCACCCCCGCTACTGTTCTGAGGTCTGCAGGGCAGTCACATGCCACACAGGGTTCATAAAGAATTCTGGGCTTGGGATTGATGGGGCCTGGAGGGGGTTGAGTCACCCACAGGCCGGAAGTCAGCAGCAGCTACAGTAAACAGAAAAACAGCAAACAGCACCCTGGTGAGGCCAACTGTGTGGCCTGGGCCACCTCCCCACTCCAAAAATAAACTTCAGGAAAACAGTGCAGTCCAGAGTCCAGTAATGTCAGATTTGGGAAAATTCCTGGCCACCAGGGCAGATGGCCATGGGTCAATGACTGACTGATAGGCCTCTTGCAGGAGCCTGAGCATGGAGTGTTGATGAGGCTGGGGCGGATGTGGGGACGACCAAGTCCTGGCTCTGGGTCTTAGTGGCTTAATCTAAACAGCAGCCTCCCCCTGGGGTTCAGTCCTCAAGTCTGCAAAATAAGAAGTAGGACCATCCACTGAGCCTACCTCACAGTGTGAGAACTGAGAGCAATAACGCACAAGAAATAATATCTGGGGGCAGCTTTAGCGTCTTACCTGGGTCCATGTGCTGCCATTGGCCTCTTAACTATCATTGGAGCTTAAACAAGAAGGTACGCTCTCTAGGCCTCAGTTTCCACCTCTGTAGAATGGAGCTAGCAACCCGTGCCTCCTAGTGGACAGTCTCTGAATAGCAACTACCACCGTCGGTGGGTGGTGGTATTATTAGGAGGTAGACAGAGAAACTGTAAAGTGTGACAGTTGCCAAGTGTGTCATTAGAGTGATTATCCCTACAGCAACAAAGGCCAACTGCCTCTGCCTGACTCTCAGCTTCCTCCACCCTTGGTCCGGCTCCACCTGCCCGCCAGGCTGGCCTGGTGACAGCAGCAGCAGCAGCAGCAGCAGCAGCGGGGATGACTAGGCTGACAGCTGACTGGAATGGGGGGAACAGGGCCCCTCCTCACCACTCCTTAGATGGGGCATCCTGCTCAGCTACACACCCAGCCTCCTGACATGTCCTGCCCAG